GACGTACGTAGTATGCATATATATATATATATATATATATATATATATATATAGTGTTTTTTCGTTGATAGTCGTCTCAACTAAAAATTATTTGCAGCCGGACTTAAAGATGATGGTACCATGGCGAATCACTTGGATGAATTCTTGTTTCAAGTAAAAAATATAGATGCATCGAACCTGTACCTAACAATTGATCATCATTGTGACGGTGGAATCATGCATAAGGTGCATTAGTTTTTTTTTTTTGACTTATCAAATCTCTGATTTAAACTCGCCTTATTATGAATTTTAACTAAAATTTCACAAAATGTCGCAAAAATCTTGATCATAGAAATGGATACAATTGAATGATTGAAATTCATTTCCTGATCCACATGTGCACCTGAAATAGTTTATTAACAATGATGTCTAAAAGTGCTATTAACATAAGACAGTAAACCTATCGTAATATGGCTAATTTTTGCTTTGGAGTATCTTCATCTGGTTAGACTTTAATCTGTGCAGTGCCCTTACTCGTATTTCAAGCCCTCACTAGTATTTCAAGGTGTCTTCATAACTGATAGAATGATTTTCACGGTGATCTTTATAATTGATTGAATCTTAATCTACTCAATCACCTTCTATTTCAATGTATTTTCATAATAGAATGGTTTTTATGATTAATAAAGTGATCTTCACAACTGATAAATTGATAAAATAGGTAATTGTTGGAAAAAATTTTTCATTTCAGCAATGCATGCGAAAAGATAAATTGCTCTTTCAACAAGTTACAAAGAAACGGTTAATTTATCATATCGGAATGTTAGAATTACAAAATACCACCGTGTTACACCCAAATATACTGTATTATATTGAAAGTCATAACAATTGTAAATGTTACAATCAAAATTTATTCCATATTAATTCCACTTCATGCATCAATTACATCAAAATGAATCAGAAAAAAAAGCATGTCCTAAAAAGAGGCATTAAAAAAATTATTGATGAAAATTGATATTTCCAAATTTTCTTTTTTTCTTCCAAATTTTCTCCAAGAAGTATTATTTTTGAAATAATAATGGTGAAAATTGTACAGTTGAGAATTTTTCGGGATACATTACCATAATATTATTTGAGTTCAAATATTAGGCTGCTTTAAATATTTAAGTTATCACCTTATTTAACATATTATTGTCTTTCTTATCGTTTAATTTTGATTTATAATAATTCTTTTTTTTTTTTGTCATTTATATGCATTCAAATGTGTTTTCGATATTGAGTGAAAGAAAAATGGGAATTTCATCTTGAAATGAAATGAGATGATATAATATCTAATTAGCTAATTGGCAGATAAATTAATGATGAAATAGGGTTTCGAAAAATAAAATGTGGAGTGTCGTAATTTTTCTTCAACTAAATAATGCATATTATACATAGTTTGCATATGGTAATAACTAGCACCGATATATTAATAATTAAAATTTGAAATTGAAAAAAGAGATTATGCACTATCAGAGCAGCAATATAATAGTCGCGAGATCATTTCAAGACTGGAACAAGTGGTACAAAATTTTTGAAATGTTAAATGTAAATCCCAACACTTTTTGGTTCGTAATTCTTTCAGCATATCAATTAATTTCCAAAATGTTAAATATTTAAGTTTTGGTACCGAATAATAGCTCCAAATGATATCATAGTCGAAAAGTACCGAATTATGATGTAAATGAAAGATGAATCGATTTTTATTCACCATTACACAGTTACCTCTGGAAAAAAATAATTAATTAAAAAAAATTCTGATAAAGTGAAATTTGTCGTTTCATTTTGTCCTCTTGTTCAATCAAAAAAATTTGTTCAATTATATCTGAAAATTCTAAATCATATAATAAATTTGGAATAGTATAATAATTAATAAATTTTTAAAGATCATCTTTTATTAGAAAAGTGATTAGTTTTTTTTTTTCAACTGTATTTACTTATGAAATTAACTAATTAAGCGTTAATTAATGGATAATTATATAATTAACAATAATTTTTCTTTTTTTAAAAGTATTAAAACTGAAATAACCAAAACATTGTTAATCTAATTATTCAAAGTTTTTTTTCCTTTTTAATCATGATAACATATTTGTTTAATTTATCAAATTTAATCAATCATATTCATTTCAACATCATAATTATCTTTAATCTTAGTAAAAATTTTTTTTCTCACCTAACAATCTTTTCACATTTTAATGGACTCATTGTCATTGTATTCATATTAACTACAATCCATGTTCGTTCTTGTACAAGAATAAATGCTCGTAAAAGTACGACATGTCCTTCTTGTGCCATAATTCGAACAAAACGTGGTCGTGCAGAAAATTTTCCATTGCTGTTGTTACCCATCTTAATGGTGTAATTGTTGTATTAATTTTTGCTTATTGG